AGCATTTTTCACTGACACAGGTACATACACATACATTCCCATTGATAACTAGGCTCCTTCTGGGTGCGTAGGGGCTGCATTAGGGCAAAGAGAAGAAGTAGGTGGCACAGTAGGAGATTTCCGGTGCCTAAGTAGATGTTTTAAACACTTGCACAGTGGCGTCTAATAAATATGTTTTAAAGCTAATATGGAGTTTTGGTTGGTTTTCAGTTTCTATGAGCTAATGGATGTTCCATTTTGTGAAAAGTTGCAAGCCCCATGAAAGTCTGAGCTATGTATGAACATATTAATACTATTCCTTACAATGACTTTAGAAGTGTGTTTTCTTATCCTTGCTTTACAAAAGAATAAGTCAAGTGAAAGAGATCTAACATGTTAATGGTAAAGGATAACACACCCCTATAGGTTTAGGTACTACTTTGTAAAAGATCCTGCTTATCTGGCCTCACCACTCTGGACACTAGGGTGGTAACCTGGTTTAGGTACCACTTCTTAACAGTAACAAAAATAGTTTAATTAAAGTTGTTTGAGACTTTATAACGAGAGTACATACTGCTGATGACATGGCCTCTGTTCTATTAGCCGCCTTCATGTGCACATAAGTTTGGGAGTGAGCTCCATTGAGCAGCATTGTCCCTCAGTAATAGGGGGAGAAGAATTTGGGAGGAGGAGAAGAGAGCCAAGTAGGCTGGAGGCCACAAGGGTGACTGGACAGAGACAGGGAAACACCTGACTGCATGGAAAAAACAACAACAACAATAACAAAAACAAGCAAACAAACAAACTTGGAAGAATGGAAATGTCCAATGTGGATTTTTAAGTTGTTTTTCTGAGTTTGTACATTTACTAAAGCTTTTGTGAGGTTAGATTTTTCTGAAGGAACTCAAAACAGTGTTGATTTTCATGTTTGGATCAAGGAAGTCAAGCTGCTTTGTGGATGAAGAAGCAGGACAGAAAGAGGACTTCCCAGGCATAGAATTGGGGGATTGATGAAATCATCCATAGATTTTTAAGGCCAGGAGGCTCCAGCTAAAGCGTGAGCTCCAGATAGATACAATGGATTACAATTAATATGTACAAATAGTGGAATGGCCTCTGGTGCTCATGTAAGCTACCTATCCCTCCTAAGGGTATTCTTAGGGTATTATGTTGTGTTTCCTGGGAAACCTTCCTGAAGCCCACACATTCTCTTATGCCTTCCATTATATTGTTTCTACTCCCTGGAATGCCACCATCTCCTTCCCCATCCTAATCCCTCGTCACCCTCTATTGAAATAATACTTGTCACAGATTTACTAAACTGTGCTGTGATGGTTTCTTTACCTGTCTGACTCTCTTAGTTTATAATCCCCCTGGAATGCAGGAACTGTGGCCAGCACAGTGGTTGGCATATAATAAGCACTCAGTAATTTATTAATACAAAATAAGCATTTAATAATTTGTTGATTTAGTGACTGAATAAATGAATGGTTGAGGGCCAAACTTAGCTCCCACCTCTTTGATAAACTTTTCTCTTTATTGACCTATACCAATATCCATCCTAGCTCATTAACTTTACTTCTAACATATCCTATGAGTACTCCCATTCCTCCTATTATGCTTGTTGGGTACTTACGTGCAAGACACTATGCAATGCTCATTTAATCCAGGCAGCAACCTCATGAAGTAGACACTATTGTTTTCACAGGTGAGGAAGTAGAGTCTCAGGGAAGGTAGGTGACTTGGCCAAAGTTACACAGCTGGTAAGTGGTAGAGCAGGATTTGTGCCAGGCAGCCTGAATCCAGAGCCCACAGTCTTTGCCACTCATTGGGGGAAGTTCTACTTGTCCTCCAGGGCCAAGCACAGACTGGGCTTCCTCAGGAAACTTGCTTGTGTCTCTCAAGACTGGGTCAGGGCTTTCCTCTCTGCTGGAGCATATCCCCCAGCACTCTGCTTTCATTGTCTCACCCCTTTAGACTGCAGGCCCTGTGAGGCAGGAGTCTTATCTTTTCTTCCCATCATCTCATTTTTTGTGGCTACCATCTTGTGAAGCTATTGGGATAGAAATTCCTGTCTGTCTGTACTGGGCAGATGAGGAAATAGTGGCTTGGGGATTTGCCTAATATTACACAGGTACTCTATCAGAGTCAAGGCTAAGACCTAGGTCTTCAATCCAGTCCCAGGGTCCTTTACCTTGACAAAGCCCTTTACAAATAATTCAGGGAAGACGTTAGTGTTCATAGAATTACAAGAAACTACAATTACCTAGATAAGAGTTTTCATTTTCGAGATTAGGCCTAGATAGGGGAAACCGCTTATCCAAAGTTGTGGAGCAGGTTAGTAGAAGGACAGATCTGAGTAACAAAAGCACGGAGAGAGCTTGGGATTTAGTCCTCACCCTGACATTTAATTCTTACTGACTGACACATAATATAAAGTATAAACCAAGTTGATACTGTCTTTACTCTCATTGTCCTTGACGTATATGCAAAGAATAGCTTTTCTCTTCTGAAAACTTCTCTATTCCATTTGACGACACCCCCTCCCCCCCCGCCAAAACAAACAAACTCATTTCCATCGAGTCAATTCCAACTCATAGTGACCCTATAGGACAGAGCAGTAGCCCCATAGAGTTTCCAAGGCCCATAGGGTTTTCAAGGCTGTAAATCTGCACGAAAGCAAACTGCCACATCTTTCTCCCATGGAGTGGCTGGTGGATTCAAGCCACAAACCTTTTGTTTAGCAGACAAGTGCTTAACTACTGCACCACCAGGCTTCTTCCATTTGGCCCAAGCATCCCTTATTGGATTACTTTATCACTGCTTTCTTGACTTGTATTCTTTTGCAATCTCCTGGACTGCTCCTCTCAGCTGCAGGCCTCTCCAGCCCCAGCCACCCTACCCCCTTGCCCTCCAATAGTCTCTCACCAGCCTTTCATTTCCTCAAGGCTGCCAAGTTAGCCAGTCAGCATTGCTTGTCTTCATTCCAGCTGTGCTCCACCCACAAAGGCCATTTCCTGGCTGCTATGGTGAACAAGCACTGCAACTGCTAAAATATTAATGGTTACCTTTGTGAAAGATAGCACAGTGAAGTCTCTTGCTGTAAATTAAAATTGCCAGTGAGTTGGAAACGATGACGTGGAGGAAATAAAGCAAAATCATAATTTTAAAAAGTGTTTCAGAATTAAGGCAAAGGAGGACATCCTTGGCTCTGCTTTCCCCATCAAAATGCTGGGCTCTCACAGTGGGAAATGCAGTCACCGTTGGCTAAGATTCACCACATAGATGGGATGGATAACAAGGCAGATGAGTCCTTTGCCAAGCTGGGTCCACTGGGAAAAAGGAGGAGGGAAAGGCAAGATTGTGACCCTAATACTCCACAGCATGTTTTCTCCTCTTCATGGGCAATTGAGAGCTTGACATAACTAATGCCATGATGAAACTATAGGGCTTTTTTTTCCCCCTTTTTTGCCTGCCTTCTCCTTTCCGCATACCTTTGTTAATGACTTTGTTTTGCTCTGTCTGGCCACTTGTGACTTACGACCCTCCCCCGTCCACCCATGGAGACTAGAGCCCAGATGTCTGGTCTGTAAATCTTTAGCCTGATAAGGAGATGTCCAGCACGTATCTCTTTAGTCTGATAGAGTTTTGTAGTTATCTTGTAATGTATAACTCATTTGGCCATCTGTGGGCGATGTGCCAAAAGACACTTCTAACTCTTGTAAAAATCATATATAAGCTCTAATGTAAAAATGCCATTTGGGACTCCATTGGGACAGCCTGCAGTGCTGTCAGATCCCTGTTGGTGGACACCTCCTAAATAAACTTTCTCACTGTTTCTGACTTGCAGTACGTTTCATTGGCTTGAATGCTCCAGGGCACGGACCCTAATCAGGCAACAGGATAGACCAGTAAACAAAAAGTGATACATGTGGATAAAAGGAATAGGGGATTCCTGCAGTTAACAATGCATGTGACATGGTGGTGGAGGAGGGCTGAAGGATGTTGAGAAAAAAATCCAGGTAGCATCAAATGCCAAGAACTGTGGCTCCCTTCTTTGTCCAATCCTTAATTAAAGCACTTAGCACTTTAGGTTTTAATTATATGATTTCCCAACCACACTCTGTCATTGTCATCATTATATCCCTGGTGTTTTGCACAGTGCTTGGCACAGATCACAAAGTTTAGCTATATTTTCTAAATGAAAGGATGAGTAATTGGAAAGGACAAAGGTAAAGAGCAACAACTGACCCTTAACATTTGCAGAATAGTGGATTTCAATATTTTTATTCTTTTTATGATGAAGAGAGTACAAAGGGTTGGGGTCAGAGACATCACAGGAGGAAGAAAGATAGTGTACCTTTTTTCCAAAACACCCCTAAGCTACACATAGAAGAAAACTGGACTCCCAGGGCAGTCTTCCCTACCCAGCCAGTCAGCACCAATCCAGGTCAAATTTGCCAATAGCTCCTCGTGGCTACAGGGCATATGCTGGCTTTCCCGGGAGTCCTGGGCATTTCTCCGGGTGGCAACCAAAACCACCTTTTCTGCTTCCCAGAGCAACGTGGCCACTCTCATCTCCCCAGGCTCCCAATCTGAGTCCCATGCTCTGTCCTCTCTCTTCTTTCTTATTACTTGAGACTGATTCTCACAGGTTCCTCTGGCTCCTGCACACATTTTCATTACTGGGTTTGTGAAGATTCTTTTTCTGATTGAGGAAATTCTTCCTGTCCTAGTCTGTCAGCTCTGCTTCCAAACGCTTCCACCTCCACATTTCACCTCCCATTGCCCTTGTTCCTGGACCACAGAGCTCTGCACTTGAATGTCTAAGCATGTAAGCCTCATGTGAAGGGGGAGATGGAAGCATGTCACCTCAAGCAGGGGAGCTGCCCCTGGTAAAGACTTTGGGTTCCATTTAATAGATACAGCTATAGAGAACCTTGAGGGTACCCCTCCCCAGCCTCTGGCTCTATGCCTCACCACACTGACCCTTTTCAAAGGTATTGCTCAGCATCAGGCCTACTTGCAGCTCATTTTGCAGTAAAGGCAGTAGGGAGGCTGGCAGGTGCTCCCTGGAGCCAGGCTTTTCTCCACCTGTGGGCATTCACACTGGATATTTGATGTGCAAGGAAGCCATTGTCAGTCATATACAATGGTTGCTATGGAACGTGTTGAAAGTGAGAAACATGGTTTAACTGTGGATTTTATTATAAGTGAGATACTAGTCAGAAAGGCCCAGGAAGCTGGCATTGCAGGTACCAGCTCAGGGAGAGGAAAAGAGAGCAGCAGAACAGCTATAGGTATTCCAACTGATGTTAATATATATAGACACCCTTAGGTCCCCTGCTCACTTTTTCTTCACCCAGGTTTGATACGTGGCAAACCTAAACGTTTGCAAATTCACAGTCATAGTCAGTCATCCGGCACATTATGAACTTCCACTGGCGATCCCTGTTGGGAGAGAGTCAGAAAGCTAATGTTAGTGAGAAAAGACACAGAAAGAGGCAACCTTGCTGGGGGGAAAGCAACAAAGACAGGTGGAGGATATAGGAACTGAAAAGACACCAGACCTCACTTTGCTCATAGAAGACACCTGACAGACAATTTTATGTGAGGTCAGGAGTCCTAGATACCTCCTCACCCAGTTCAGGCTGCATCTTGAACGTGAATGACTAGGTTATGTGTGTGGAGATTCCTGTTTATCCCTAGAGCTCTGTTCACCACTGCTCCCCACCGAAGGTATCCCGAGGCATGTCGGTTAACAGCTTGGAATGAAAGTATTTCTTTAACATCACTTCCATTTTATTCTAAAGAGTCCTCTTTTAAATAGGGCCTCCCTGGGTGGGGCAAACAGTTAAAGGCTCCAAAAAACCAAACCTGTTGCCCCTGAGTTGATTCCAACTCAGAGCAACCCTATAGAGCAGAGTAGAACTGCCCCGTAGGGTTTCCAAGGAATGCCTGGTAGATTTAAACTGCTGACCTTTTGGTTAGCAGCCATAGCTCTTAACCACTACACCACCAGGGTTTCCAGTTAAAGGCTCAGCCACTGAAAACCTGCTGGAGCATAGTTTTACTCCAACACACATATGGTCATCATGTGTCAGAATCAACTGAGCAGCAACTGTTTTTTTCACCCTATTTGCTCATTTATTCTTTCTCTTACTGAGTATTAACCGAGCACTAAGTTCTGTGTTACACACTGTATGTTTCCCTTCAGAACATTATCACAGAGAAATGAAGTAAGGGGAAACAACTCTAATGTCTCTTAACGTGGAAAAGAAACTGCCTGTCATTTTTGCATAAAAGAAATTGAATTGCATATTTGTTTCAGAGGGCAGGGATGGGTATGAGTGTACATGCGATTGCTCAATTTTGAAAAACATGGTGTGAATACATTTCAAGGAATGTTCTTTGCTAAGGGCAAGTCTATGTTCTTTATTCATCCATTTAACAAAAAACGTATTGCATGGCCCTTCTTCTCTGTATGGCCCACAACTGACTTTATATTGCTTAATAATGATAACAGCAATGATGATAATAACAACCATTTACTGAGTCCCTCCGATACAGCCGGCATTGCACTAGATGCCTTACCTGTTTTCTCATTTAACCCTCACGAAGATTACTGTATAGGTGGATTTCAAGAGCTACTTAATGTTGTTTTTAAATTCTGGGCCATATTAAATAAATAAACTTTAGTTGAGTAAGATGGCATTTCATATGAAAATATGAATATACACAAATGATTAGGCACACACAAATTCATTATATTCCATTATCTAATGGGTTTACATAAATTTTATTTGGCTGGCAAAACACTTATCTATAACTTTTCAAGAACTCATTTGCTGTGTAAAGTGATTATCACTTGACTAAAAGTAGGCCAAGCCAGGCTTTAACACTTGTATTTACCTAAGCCTCTCTCTATACCAATAGGCAGAAACATTTTTGTTTTCTCTTATTGTTTTGTTTTGTTTTTATGTACTTGAGATAGGTTTGGGAACTGGTTGTGAGGAAAAAGGAGGGAAAAAAGTTGGTGCTGTTTTTTCCTTAGGTTATTCAAATTCTCCCCTTTATGTGCTTCTTCTCCTCAGCCTCCTCTCCTTCTTTTCTCTCTCCCTTCCCAAAACCCGAAGTGGGAGTCACACAGGGGCAGGAGACCAGAGACAGTTCTGCTGGCAGTGGGTGCTCATCCAACCATTTTTGTCTTCCCTTCTGAGGACACAGTGCTCTTGAAAATGAGTGAGGGGGCAAGCCTAGAACATGATGGGACACTGCGTTTAGGATTCTCTGCTCTGGAGCAGGCCTGGGGTCCACCCTCTTACCCATGGGTGAGCCACTCTGTGAGGTAGGCTCATCCAGTTAAACCTCAAGCTAGTTCCAGACCAAGGAGGAAAATAAAATAGGGAAAACCTGAGATAAAAATTCCTGCAGGACAATCCATACATGTAGTCTCTGGATCTTAACCCCTTGCCCATGAGAAAGGTGTACCTTTCCACTGCAGAGAAAGTGGTTGTTGCTCCCCGGATATAATAATCATAATTGTAGGAAACCATGTCCATCTCCTCCCCATAGTGGCCTGGATACTCTGTAGTCAGCCTATATAGAGAGAACACACCCTTAGAGGAGAAAGATAAAACACATTATGACTGCTGGGAGCAAGCAGGAAACATGCGACGTAGAAGAGATAAAGTTTGGACATCTTGGGAGATCCAACCTGGGGTTGTATGGCCTCCACCATTCCAGGCTGTGAAAAGACAGACAGATCTCCTCCCACTTCTCATCTTCCTTTTTCTTGCCCTTAAACTACACACTGAAAAAAATGTAGATCAATTCCCAGGCCTTGAGGAAAATATTGATTAAAGTCAATATCAATATCAGTCTCATTCCAATGACGTCAGCTAGGATAATGTTTTCAAACTGTGAATTATGACCCATTAGTAGATCATGAATTCAATTTAATTCATTACATCCAGCTTTAAAAGAGAAGAAGAAAAAAATATCAGAATGCATTGCATGCAATAAGGATAAATTTGTGTGTGTGTGTAAGTAAACTTTGTTTCAAACATATATGTGTGTGTTTATATAATGTACATATTATGGGATAGTTTAAAATGTATTTCTTACTGTGCCTCTGATCAAATAAAGTTTGAAAAATATATAACTAAACTGTGAGCTCTGTAAGGGTAGGTATTTACCTTGTCCACCATCGTTTCTCTGGCACCTAAAACAGTTATAGGGACATAGTAAGTATCTGCTGAATAAATAAATGGCCGTGAGAGAGTCACTTAAACTTAATTTACTGATCTATAGATTTTGGATTTGCCAGCTCCCACAACCCCGTGAACCAGCAGCCTGCTGAATGATCTGCCGATTTTCGGTTTGTCGGCCCCTGCAAACACGTGAATCAGGAGAAACCTCCACGCTGCCAGCCTCCACAATTATGTGAGCCATTTCCTTGAAATAAATCTCTCTCTATATATTTACAGATATGCTTCATTGGTTTTGCTGCTCTAGAGAACCCAGCCTAAGACATTATAGGTTTGTTGTTGGGACTAATATGAACATGTATAATATACTGGTACATGGTAGGTATTGAAACATTAGGAGCTATTTTGTTTCTTCTTCCTCCTCCTCCTTTTCCTTCATTCTTTATCCTCCAAGATTTAGTCATTCCTGGGCCTCCCAAAGGGTAGGTCCATGGTGATCAATCCTGGAGTAAATCTAGTTCTGTCCAAAATTCCATGGTTCCAATAAGGGCTTCTGGGGATCTTCAGAATCAAAACAGTCCTTTGAGGACCAGAGAGTTTTTCCAGTTTTGATCTGTATTCCCCAGGCTGCTCAGAAAGCGATTACTTAATGAATGCAAATTTATCTAATTTGGGTTCACCGAGTCATTATGTATTGATAATAGAAAGTTCTTCCTCCACGAGGACCAAATAATCTTTTATTGTAAAGATTGTCATAAAATCTTGAAAAGATAGATTTTTAAGTTGTAAGGGCTCTGAGGAGGATTTCAGAGAGATCCATGGTTAGCTCAAGAATACCTAGGGGTTAGCAGGAACCGTGGACTAAACCTCACTCTCTTGATTCATAAATTTTCCTTTTTCCATATCATGCAGTATCCTTTACTCTCTGCTTTTTCTTTTCTTAAGACATAATTATGCTGTATTAGGGTGCCGAGCCCAACCAGAGTGGGTTGCATGTGTTTTTGCTTAATGTGGCCATGAAGGGAAATAAACCAAAAAAACCCCATTGCCGTTGAGTCGATTCTGACCAATAGCGACTCTATAGGACAGAGTAGAACTGCCCTCTAGGGTTTCCAAGGAGTGTCTGGTGGCTTTGAACTGCCAACCTTTTCGTTAGTAGCCAAACCCTTAACCACTACGCCAACCAGCTAATTAAGAAATCCATTTTGTGGTTCTAAAGAGACCAAGAACCAGGACTTCCTCTTTCTAATGAAAAACTCAGTTAAATGTCTCATAATTGGACCTACTAGGGCCTCACTTGGGTTCCCATTGGTTTGTGATCCACTTACCCAGAGAAGAAAGAAGAGTTTGTTGAGAACATGAATAATGTAAATAGGAGTACAGGAGACTGGACTGGAGTGTGTTTTCCTTACTTCAGAGAATGAAAAATATTTTCCAGAACTTTTTAAACAATCTTTGGAGACGGTATAAAAAAGCTAAGTACCAGACATTTCCGTTTCTGCTAAGACAGCATCTACACTTGGCAATGCTGCATTAGGCTAAACACAATCTCCAAATCTATTTAGAAATAATCAGGCTAGATTTTTATTTTCTAAGTTTTCTTCACCACTCTGATCTGCCCTCAGATTACCTCGATAATTAAATACATTTGAAATAGAGTGGAAAAGAATTGCATTTCTTTAAAACATCAGGCAATTTAAAACTTCAACGGGGGAAAAGTTATCCAATGCTCTCCTTTACTAGAATTCTCTATTGCTTTGTTTTGGGTGGTGACCAGACACAGGCCCTTGCCCAGTTGAAGAGTTTGTGCTGCAAAGCCTCTCTGTAGTGGATTGCTATTTAGTGTATTTCTAGAACCTTCTGGAAGAAGGTGTGGTGCATGTCTATCTGGGTCCCAGCCAAGTTTTTGTTTTGTTTGTTTTTGGTTGCTGCCAATTTGTTTTTGATACAAAACTACGAGATCAAGTTTATACTATTTTACAGAACCCTAGATTAAGGGGGATGGAGGAGGAGGTTGGATATTGATGGAAATCACCTCGACTTTGTGAAACCAAAAATATAGGGGGAGAAGTGACCCCATTCACTAATAGGAAGTGAATGTCCCAAACACTATCCTTAGCAAGAACTGCTGTTCAATATGGCCCAGGATTCTGTGTCTTAGAACCAGATAGATGTGTCTCCATTGAGATTTCGATGAAATGAGAAACAAAAAAAAAAAAAAAAGTCACAGTAAGTGAAAGCTCCCAGTAAGAGTTCCTCAGAGAGAACAGAAATAAAGCTTTCAAAACTAGACACTGACATAAGGGCATAGGAACTTGCTAGGAAACAAAGAAACTACAAGGGAGCAGAACAACTAGGGTTTCACACCCCATGGCCCTGGGCGTCCTGAGGGTGGGTGGGGAGATTTCAGTGTGGGTGTAGCCTCCTTGTGAATTACTAGGTCACCTCAGGCAGCATTTTGGCAAAACATACTTCATACTGAGCACTGCCACACATTCCTAGACCAATTAAAACAATCAAACAAGCCTTCAGCTTGGCACAGTGAAGGGTAGGACAAGTCAGGAAAGTGACTTTATTCAATTTATTCAAATGAATTTATTATTTAAGGGCTTTTATCCTAAGCCTTATTAATTCCTTTTCAAAAAATTACACACACAAACTCTCTCTCTGTCTCTGTGTTCATTCCTCTTTCCACTTTTGGATGAGTGGCTATTGAGGTAAAATTTCTCACTTCACAGTGCTTTTTCTGCCTTCTGCAGGCAAGACAGACAGACAGATAGATAGTTATTCCAAAGCTAAATAAGAATGATAACATAAAACTACTGGTACAACTTCTTGGGTCAAATGAGGTTGAATAAGATGGAACAACTTTGAGTAATATTTTAGTTACAAGCTGAAGAAGACCCACTGAAATTTAATAAGTTTTTAAGATTGGTATAGGATTTTCTTATCTAAGATTCTTAAAATAGAGATATTATCAACAGATTGAACTAGACTCTCAATAAATGTTTGCTGACCAATACAATCTCACAGACTGGGCTGCTGATCGATGCCTTGGCTCTTTTGCTATGAGAATAAGGCAGCACAGAGCTGAGCCCTGATATGTGCGATCACACCATTTTAAAAAGGGGGAAAGAGATACAGTCTAGTTACAGAAGGAGGCCAATTTTATTCACTGTCAGAGGTTTACTTGAGAACTGATTAGGTTTTTAATCATTAAAGGAAAGGATATTTTAATCTATTCCTCAACAGAAAGTGACTCAGTTTAAGATTTTGTGAAAACCCATCATAGGCCCTTTTGATCACTAAGTGGTTGCTCCAAAAGCCAATTTTCATAGTTCTGAGGTCTGTTTGTTACATCTGTCTGATGTGCCAGCAATTTAACCAGTTGCAGCTGAGTTGATTCTGACCCATGATGACCCCACGTGTGATCAGAGTAGAACTGTGCTCCACAGGTTTTCAACAGCTGATTTTTTGGAAGTAGATCACCATACTTTTCTTCCTAGGTGTTTCTGGATGGACTCGAACCTCCAACTTTTCAGTTAGCAGCCAAGTGTGTTAACTGTTTGCACCACCCAGGTACTCTTGCCAGAAATTAGGATAATCGGGTTATTGAGAGTCATCCTGGAGACTCTATGTTGCAGGGCGTGTGCCACTACTGGTGTGCCATGGACAACTGGACTTTGTCTCTGGGAGGGAGTTTTTGTGTCCCAAGTCAGCAAGTGTCATGTCCTCAGCCTTATTCTACTTTATGACTTTATGGGGATACCAGAGAAGCACACACACAGACTCTCTACCATAAAAACAGGAAAAAAAACCTAGCATTTATATGTTAACAAACCAGAATAGGATACCTGAGTATTTTGTTTTTTTTTTTTTAAATAACGATAAAATGAGAATGTTTTCTAACCCATTATTAAGAGCTTGGCTCAAGCTCAAACAACAGTCCGAGAAGCTGCTTCTGGGTGACCGCATTTCTAATTCTGTTTTGCTCCCGTTGTCTCTACTACCCAATTATCACCATATTTCAAATATCTCTATCTAATGTCCTATTATTTTTCAGCATCACATATTTAGCATTTTATTTAAAAAAATAGAATACTATGTAATATCTTGTTTCATGATGATGACCAATATACTGAGTTTTTTTGCATCAGATATACCTTTTATGATCTGGATGGAAGTCCCTTAGTGGTGAAAACAGTTAATGTGCTTGGCTGCTAACTGAAAGATTGGCTGTTCAAGTCCACCCAGAGGCACCTTGGAAGAAAGGCCTGGTGACCTACTCCCCAAAAAATCAGCCATTGAAAACCGTATGGAGCACAGTTCTACTCTGACAAACATGGGGTCTCCATGAGTTGGAACTGACCTGAGAGCAACTGGTTATTT